AAAGCACTAAAATTAAATCGGCCATTCTGATTCTAATTCAGGGTTGGACGTCCTTGTTCGACTGTTAATGGAATTGTGATATTCCTTTTAGATAATAATAGAATTGTTATTTAATCTGTGCTCATCATCATCATCTGCTTTTCCTTATTCCCATATCATTTGCGGTCGGTGTAATGTGTTTTTCTCTTCCATTTATTCCTGTTCGTAGTCATCTCGTCATTTCACTCTCTGTGTTGCCATATCATCTTTAATATCGTACCTGCCTTTTTTTTGGCCTTCGTCTGAATTTATACTAATTTATATTGTAACACTCATATAGAACACTTTCTTCATAATATTTTCTACATTATCTGATCTAAAATTATAAAATTTTAATTTAGTTCTATGATTTATGATTGATATACGCTCAATAATTTTATGGTATTTTTTCGTTTATGATGGAGAAATATACCAGGACAATTTCTAGGTGCACAGCTTGGAAATTAAAACATTACAAACATAGTGCATAGCTGGCAGTTGGGTAACTCATGCCCATTATTACAAGTCCTTTTCATAATCATATATTATAGAAGCGTTATTTTAAATGGAACGACGAGAATAGAATTTAGGAAATGATTAGCAGAATTTTCACAAAATATTTTAACACCCGTCATCTGGTTTAGCAATCTGGCGTAAGAAGATTGCTAAAGCAAGAAGTACGTAGAATCTACTAGTGGAATTTATCAAGGTAACTATCCAAGACAATGACTGTTAGCATGTTTGTCTGTGCGTTGGTATCTTGATATGCGCTAATCTACGAAACCGTTTAACTTCAAATTGAGTCTTATACGTTAATGAAAACAGCATCTAAACTGAAATTTATTTGTATTTCTTTTATTTATATCGGTTTATAAACTATAGTTATTCGGAATATGTAGGGAGTAAAGTCGCGGGTTAAGCTAGTGCTATAATATATTAGAGCTGGCCGGAAGTGAGTGTAGATTTATGGCGTCGAATATGCTTGCGAGTGCAGTTGGAATATTCAGTTTCGTATTCACAGCACGTGTAAGTTGTAAAATTAACTTGACTTCGTTCTAATTAAATTTGATATTTTGTTCCAACACATAACCAACTTTAAAAGCGATGTGTGTTACTATATACTACACGGAAGTATACCACTCGGTTCAAACATTTTAAAAACCATAATTTTTATTGCATTCTAGAAGTAATGTAAGATCGAATTACCGTTTTTAGATTTTTAGGCAATAAGCAATGGCAATAAACTTTTTGAAAGTAAATATCCCCCGGTAATCTTACAGAACTTCCTGAGTTTTATTTTTAATCGTGAGTTAGTTTGTATGTCAGATGATTATTTCAGTAGTAGAAATAAATATTTCGGTTATTAAATTACAGCTTAGGAATACATTCAGATGAGAGTATTAAAAAAAATAGTTTAGTTAAGCGAACATTAAACTATATGACATATATATTTCTATTTGAAATTGTAATAGAAATCAGATATAAAACCTAGATTTTGTAACTGAAAACAAGGTAGAACTTTAATTTTTCAATATGTACAGCGGAATTGAGACCATGCTTATTACTGTTGTTGTTTAAAAGTACAAGTAATTTGATCTCATTGGAACATAAACAAACAGTATTTGTCCAATATAAGATTGTGTGACGCAGTGTGGATTATCCTGAGAGAAGGGTAACGATATTGACACAGCAGTTCAAGGCAAATCCGCAAATAAACTGAATAAATGAAACTGTAGTGGCGTCTGTCTGTACCCCAGAGTAAATAATTAGTGTCGCAATACTGCAAGAACTTATTTATTTATTTAGAAAACGTACTTATTTATTTAAAGAAGAATATATGTTGGACTCCGCAATTGGGCAACCAATAAAGCGTGAGAATTACCAAAACATATTCTCAACTCTAATTCATTACTTTTTATTATTAACATTATGCTCAGTTAGACATTTATATATTACCTCCTGCTTAACTCAATAAAACTGCTGCGTCGCAAAAATATGATTTTTTAAAACAAGTTTAATAACATTTTCGATAATTGTTTTTATGTAAATAAATAAAAAGTTTGAAGAGATTTATATAACCATTAGCTTTTTGAGTCGATTTTGAAATACAAACAATCATACACATGAATACAAATGTTTGTGCCGTGCGTGGAATCGAATCCGTGACCATCAGAAATAAGTCAGTGTGCTTAACTGCTGAGGCCGTCAAAAAGGTATTAGTATACAAGTTGTATTATTGTACAAGAAAGTGTTATTGCACGGCCCTCGCAATCGCGTCGTCGTGGAATGCTATAATTATTTAAATATTAGAGATTCTATAAGTTCGAAAAGCGATAAGTAATATATTGAAGCAACAAAAGCCGTTATATCTTATTAAGTTATAGCTAAAATTAGAGAATTTGCAATTGAAAGAATAATATTAAAGTCCCTTTTAAGAAATGTTGAATAGCTTTACACTAATACTCCAAATTGATATAAAGAATTACAACATATTGTACTATAAATGGAATATATTATGATTTGTATTATAAATTAATATGTAATTATTATAGATGATTATTAAATGCTATCATTATTTGAAATTAGATAACATATCTAGGCTTCTAGAAACCCACTCTAAAATTTCACGAAATCTTATTTAGTTAGAAATAAAATTAGATAATTTTAAAATTCAAAGAATGGTATTAAAATCCCATTAAATAGGTGAGTAGTTCAAGTTTAAACAAATTTCCAGACTTGTTTATAAAACAGACATTTAAAATATTTACTTGCAGCCTCTTCTGTTGTGAACATTAAGAAAACAACGAACTTTTGTTTATTTATATTAGTCTTCTGTATTGAGTATTGGAGAGGATTGGCGCGTACTTTATTCCGTTCACGAACATTGCAGGGTAGGAACTTCTGCCTGAAGGAGTACCTTCATAGTTGTCTGATTTACATATTTAGTAGCTTTTTCTTGTTCCTTGTTATTTGTGTCAAAATGCTACCTAAGTGTTATTAATTGCAACATTACAAGAAGCAGAGTATACCTATTTAGGATTACCCGTTAAAAATAGACAAATATAAATAAATAACCCAGAACATATCTAGTATCTATGAAACTAAGTAAATAGTCTTCTGTGGGCACCTACTAATGGAAATGACTTACTACTTAATGATGTATTTTTTTTGTAAATTTATACTCAATGTAGATTGAAAACATTCGAACCAATACAAGTAATCATACATAAAAGTATTGGTAGGTATTGGGGGTAACCAAAATAATCTGAATGGTGGGCTGAAACTCTGCGAGGTTTTTTTCAATGAATGATAATAGTTCATTCGCCTGCGCTAACGGTTTAAGCTGGCGGGGCACCATTGCTAATATAAGGAATGAGGTCAGGTCAGTTAGCCCATCGTAGTAATTTCACCAGAAATTCATCACGATGGTTTCCAGGGGGAACCGCGTGGAGGTCAACCTGACATCGTACATTGGTAGCAATGGGATCATCAGTTCACATTAACAACAATTTCCTTCTCTCCTACTTTACGTTTTCAAAATGTAAACAAGTGATGCGTCCACTATAACACTGCCAGGTAATAATATCTCTGAGTCAAATCTGGGTCTGGGTAGTCATAAAGGTTTTTACAAACTTTTGGGTTACAATAGGTTTGGGTAATTAATTATCAAACCTTATGCAGACTACTGAAGATGAGGACAGAAAATGGGTATGCAAAGTGGATACAGTTGCGGCATCTGCATAATTAAATCTGTCTGCAAATATGCAAAAACCTGTGAACTCCTGAATGCACTGGGGATTGCATATTCGAGATGGTATGCAAAAGATTAATTCACTTGATTTATTGATTTCTTAATAGCATGTGTCTCATTTTCATTGCAAAGATGCCGGAAGATTATAGGTCTAACACATTAATTTATGGGGAGGAAACCTCTACATAAAACCCTAATCTATAGCGTGTTAATAATAGGGTGCTATGAAGAAAGACTAGAGATAGATTTTGTACGAAATCGTCTAGATACCTATCCTCTGTTTAATTTATTTCAGCAGCAGCGGCTTGCTTTATAAGTAAAAAAGGTCCAGAACTTTAATGCATTTCTATTAGTGGGTTGTTGAGATTGATTTCGCAATTTTAAAATCTAATTACTTTTTAAAATTCAAATGACATACAAGATGACGTCATGTAGAATGTTTTCAATTGTGTTTCTGTAACGGCATTCTACCATGTTGTTTTACCTAGAAGCAGATGTGAATATATATATTTACTTTACCAAGGAACATGTATCACTTTTAACCAGCTTATACTGCCCTCCATCATAAGTGGTAACATTGACAATATACGATACGATATGGTAGAACGTCCTCTCGTATAATACATGAATAGCATCACGGACGTCAAAAAATATATATACTCATGGCTCTCTCGTTCTTGAAGAAATTTAATTCTTTAAAGCTGCATATTTTCCGACCCTTTTCGTACAAAATATGCTGCTATGAAAATTTTCTACATTTTCTATATTTTTCTCTTTATTTTTATATATAGGATAAGGCAACTCATATCAGTGTTGTAAGCTATTTAGATTTCCCTTAAACAGTTTTTTTTAATAATGACTCGTAACTGAAAAACTCGACTTTTAGCTCATTTAGTATGAACAATCCAAGACAGTATAAAAATTGGAAAAATATATTCATAATATAAATATATTATTCTAAAAAAATATAATTTATTGTAATGTGTTACAATAAATTATATATATAATAGAGTAAACCGGGTAGAGCGTACATAAATATTTACGGCAGAATTTCGTTTAGAAGTATTACTATCGTGATTGAGGGGAGACACAGCCTCTAAATACAGATAGAACATATACTGAAGAACACCTACATCGTAATTTTATTGCGTGGAAACACTCCTTCGTCATTGTAGTTCCGTACCTATTATATAATTTTATATAATGTGTTAATATAATGTAATATTTTCAGGTATTTAGGCATACGGAACCCGTTGAAGAGCAGACATCACTCCACCAAGAGGGTGGTGCTTATCAAGATAGCGCTCGTCTGGTTGCTCAGTATGTTCGTGTCAAGTTCTATCACAGTTTTAGGTAAGACCTTTTGCATGATTCATCATCATTATCATTTTAGCCTGTATCTATCCATTGTGTCTTAAATATTATAAATTTATGTAAGTGTGAGTTTTTATGAGTAATGGGGGCTGCCTGAAAACCAGTGCTGTATTCACCACCAGGGTGCACCTCATTGAGGTTGTACTTATATCAGCAACAGCTGACGCAGCTCCTATTGCCAACTTTGTAAATTATTTTTCATTACGACGACCCGTACGCGGCCTCTACTCAATAATTTTCTGCCTCATCCGCCATTGCTGACTCTGTTAATATGCCCGACTCACTGCCACTTCTAAGGACATACTTTGAGAGATATGTCGTCCACTTTGGTTCTCATTCGAATTTATATAAATAATATAATAATATGAATAAAAATAATAAGGGAATGCACCAGCCTGCTCTAACGGTTTACACTGGGTACTATTTCTGGTAAATTTGTCATGATAGGCTAACCGACCCGACCTCATGCTTATATTAATATCTTTCACTGATGCCCCGCCAGTACATATCTACGCAGGCGGGAGTACCATACCATTATTATCAACTAAAAAATCACGGGATATTCCGGACATTTAACGTGTACAAAACAGAAAGTTACACTTAGCCTAAATGATACATCCATTTGTGTGCGGTAAAATGTCTCGGTCTAATGGTAATGGGCATAATGTTGTTCATATTTTCCCGTGCTAGCTAATATGATATATGTTATTAGAGCAGTCTGTATCACTATTTTTGAAATTCTTTGGAATTGCAACGACTGGCTATTGCTAATTCTAAAAAATCAACCTAAACATAGCACAATATTAAAAACAATAACAAGGGACAACTCACACAGCGCCATCTAATATTAAATTAAGCTGATTGTGTTTTGGATAATAGACAACTGATATAAATACACAAATACATTTTTTTATAAATACATATTATACATAGAAAAAAACCTAGGCTGATACAAGCCATTTGTACAGCGAGAGGAATTGAACCTGCGACCATCGGAAGTAAGGCGGTGTGCTATACCTTGCTACCTTATACCATGCTTATACCGTGTTAGACCTTAGGTCTAACGGTATACTGTTAGACCACCAAGATCGTTCAAAAATAATAATGGGTTTAAGATGTTGGAGCTCCCTCGGTTCCGTAACGCATTAGGGATGTTTGCAGAACCGTAGATTTATGGCTTTCCATCTGTAATTTTCAAAAGAACTCCATCACGATGCGTAGAAAATATAAAGTATTGGAGTGTATATCTACATACATACAAATATTATAAATTTCAAAATGTATCTGTCTGTCCTTTTGTCACCTTTTAACAAGCAAATAGTCAAATGGATCTTAATTAGATTTAATGAGAACATAGACTGCTTTACTAAAATGAACACAACCTATATTTTATTATTTATTACAAAAGAATTATTATGGTATAAATGAATTTCTGGATGACTAAGATTTGTTATTTATGTATATTCCTACAATATTTTTTTTGCAATCATTTTACGCGAAATTGCAGAAGACAGTAGTAATACTAAGACCTTTGTAACCTGTACTTCATAAATAAAGAATATGAATTTATAGAAAAAGCCGACGATATCGCGCGACACAGCTAGTTCGTAAAAATGTAATTAAACAGGACAATAATGGTACAAAGCTTTTAATATATTAAATAATACACATTATATTAAAATTATGTGCACCTAAAACAAGCTACTATAGCCCCTAGAGATCTGAAAGCTTGAAGTTTCTAACTACAGTTACTCTTGACTCGTACGGCACTTGGTAATACAGTTCACACAAGCCCGAAATCATGGCTTCATAAGCCCTTCCGCAAAGTTTTCTCACTTTTATTGCTAAACTAGTAAGATTCCGTAACTTCTCCTAGTTATTTGTATTATTTTTCTCAATATACTAGCATCGGAGTGGAAGAGATTGTTAGTATGGGTACATACGAGTGTATAGACGAGAGTTTATCTGCTTTTTAAGATAAAATATAATCTATATGTAGTATATATACGCAGTCCATCTTTAATTAAGACGTAATTTCACAATTTAATGTTTATTACTTCTACCTTTTGTTGTAAAACACAACTTGTTGTTTTTTTTTAATCTTAATTAAGATTAAAAAAAAAGTGATTTTGGTTATTATCATCATATTTCATGGCTGCTAAAGCCGTATTTTATATTTGATTACCCTATGCTTGTAGTATAGAAATATTATCTTAAATTAAAAAAAAATGGTTGTTTGTAAGAAATGACGGTGTCGGTGGTCTAGCTAAACCGCTAGACAGATATCGACTGCCTCGGTGCTCTAGCAGTTCAGCACACTGCTTTACTTCCGATGGTCGCGGGTTCGATTCCTCGCACTATGTGCAAATATTTGTATTCATGAGTATGATAGTTTCTATTGTATGTGTGTATGTATGTAAAAAAAAATTAAGTATTTATATCAGTTGTCTAGTACCCTTAACACAAGCTCTTCGCCACAGTAAGCAGACAGACAGACAGACTAGACAACTGATATAAATACTTAATTTTTTTTTATTAGATGGTGTTGTGTTATTTCAGTGTGTTCCAGGGTTATTTATTTATTAATTGCTTATACTATAAGAAAGTCGCTTGTAATAGTTCATTAAAAATACTTTTCTGTATACACCAGATAATAAAGTGTATAAATAAATTAAAATAAATAAATCTGAGTCCTCGGGAATGTGATGGGACGGGTATGAGTGTATAGTTGTCATATAATAGGTACTTGATATCTGTAGTGCTGTTCATGTATATAGGTGATGGTTACCACTTAACATCAAGTGGAGAGGTTATTTAGCATACCTATTACATACAATATATAGTATAAGATATTTCAACTCTATGTACTAGTAAAAGTATGTATTATAATAAAATAACAACTATATAACATTAATTTAACTATGTCTCTAACACAATTCACTTTAGCATTTAAAATACAACCAGCACATCCTGTGCTCAAAACCGAATGCCGTGGCTTTTTTTTTTCGGACTACTCTAATGCTGTTGGCCGTAGCTGGCCTTTACAGCTTCACCGGACGTTATTGGGCGTAGTTTAACAATAGCGAGTAATAATGAAACTTCTTGAGATTTTTCGACAATATCGATGTGAACCCTAACAATAGTATAGTTTAAAGTATATTATTGACGACGTATGTTGTACTCGTATACTATGTTATACTATATATTGACCCTCGGTCCTTACGACCACTGTATACATTATTTCTTTTTGACAAAAAAAGTAATAGCACGATATTTTCCCTAATTGAATTTAAAGAAGAATCTGTATTTCTTTAATTATTTGAAAAGAATAAGTGGTCGAAAGCACTCCGAACTGACGGTAGATTTGACATATCATAAGAGTCTATAAAAGACCTACATGAATTAACATTATTATTTGATTTGATTTGACATTATTGAACACCGAGGAAATGACGGAAATTGATATATATTATTTTTTGTTTGTATATTTATATTCGTATTACGCTAAAAATACTGGGTGCAACCGAATGGAGTTTTCACCGATGCATTGCTTTTCAAATGTAAGCTTCATCAGCGAAAATATCTTATTCTGAATCAATCATGAGTAGATCGCTAGGGCATACTATAGTAGAAAACTAACTTTTGGTAATTCTTGTATCGTTATTTAGGTAGGTAATAATAGTTTCTGACGAAGATCTTTTTAACGAGGTCACAGGCGGCTGGTAATGATATTCTATAATACGAGAGCTTCCAACACGGGGAAATTCTAATAAGCAGTCTCGGACCAAGAGGGTAGGGTTATTAACTTAGTGGTTAGTATATACCACCGCTAAATAGTTCCAGACCTATTAGAAATGTAATCAAAGCTGAGCCTTGATTACGTAACTACTGTACGTCCGAAGTTCAATCTATTTCTATAACAAAATAGTAGACCCGTATTGTTTTACCATGTAAATTAAAATCGCTATTATAAACAGGGGTTGATGGTAGAAAGGTGAACATTTAGGGTTGTATTATTGTATGTTGTAGGTTTTTGATGCCGAATTATAAAAATACTAATAAAAAATTGTCAAATAAAATATTTACCTTTATCAATGAGGAATATGAAAAATAGATGTTGGCCGATTCTCAAACCTACTCGATATCTACACAAAACTTCATAAAAATTAGATTATTATCATATATGTATCATCTCATGTAATATTATAAACTGAGTTACATTTTAGGAACATTACATGCACTTACTAAGACAAATTATTACGTAACTTCTCCGTCACGGGTGGCAGTTACTTTCATATTTCTTCTGATGGTAGTATTTATATTTAGATTTGTTATATATATAGAAAATATATTATAATAAAAGTAAATTACAAATATATAAAGGTATAATAAGTAGTATAAAACAATTAAGTATTACAAGAAAATTAGTACGTTTGCTGAAGAAGCTATTTCTGTAGTCTTTTTATTTTCCCGCGCAAACGTAAGGCGCCACAGATGCACAATATTGCACGGCGCGAAGCCCTAGTAGGACGACGAGCGCGTCATGGCTGTATGTATGTGTAATCGATGTTAATATTGGTATGAGTATTAAACACAATCTGATATCTGTTATGCATTACTCTTCTATAGAACTAGTTAGATAGATAAAGATAAATTATTTATTCACTAATTACAGACAATATTTTTTTTCGGTACCTCATGTATGTTATATATATGAGGTAAAAAAAATTAAATAAAAGAAATAGAGGTGACTTTACAGGCTGCAAATGTTAATATGTAACCTTTGCGGCGCATGCATAAAGTTTTTTAGTTCATAGACTTAGAGTGTAGTGTAATTTTAACTGAAATACTACTGTTTGGCAGCAATATACATGTAGAATAGAGACATTGATACATGTTTTTATATAAATTTAATACTTTCCGATACATAAAACGGCATGCGTAAAATACTATTACGCACATAACTCCAGACAGGCAAA